CCACACACCTAGCTACACTCTTGGCCCTAATAGGCGATTTGCAGGTATCAGACGAGGATCTGAAACCCACCAGTCCAGTGTCAGCTGAAGAAACCACAGAGAGTGCACCAAACAAAGATGAGCGCCACACCACAAAAATATCGAAAATGCAAGCACTAAGGCCTTTCCTAGTATGGTCCTGTGTGCTCGGCCACTTGTTTTCCGTACGCATGGGAACCAATGATCAATATAGTCATGTTTTTCAGGACATGATAGTTGAGCTTTGCGGCGAAGATCTTTCAAAACTCAACGGTCAAGATCTTGTGTTGTTTCAACTCATTGATAACAAGTATATATTTGAGGGGAAATGGGATCCGGTCAAAACCCTACGGCATATCGTGGCTTAGTGGTCTAGATCACATTTTATGAGGTAGCTGAATTGAATTGTAGGCAGCTACGATAAGAGGGACTGATAGCTTCAGCAGCAACTCGTTACATGGGTATTTTGCTGAGAAGTTAAAAACAAAAGCAAAGAACACCCGACAGATTACTCTTGTACCAGTTGCATATACATTTCTAGCTCGGCTGATAGATGTGTCGAGGAAATCTACTATCTAGGTTAGTTAGGACTAACATCTTGACTAGATTACACTGACACAATTTGTCAGCACTAGTTCCGCGGAACATACGCCAAGCTCCGCTACATGTGGCAATCTACTCTACAATGGTATGCTCTTGCTCCTTTGCCTATCAATAAACTGACATTTTGAGCAATGAATATTAACAACATCAACAAGATAATTCACGCGCACCGACACCGATGGTCCAGAACAGACTCCCAAGAAAGGTTCGTCTACACAATCAATGGCTTACCTATGTTGAGTGCTTGCGAACTCATCGGCTGACAGGGGCGCGTGGATAGGCGTGTGATGTTTGCTACCGGAAGAGGATCCGATGTGACGCGCAGAAGCCCCGCTGTTCCCATTGCGTACTGTACGGCTCAGCATGCACTTTCCAAGCTCCGAGCCGTAAAGCAAGAGCACCTGCCAAGAGGCAAGAGTCCAAGCATGAGGGTCGTGATGCCTTGCAAGCTCGGTTGGAGCGTCTGGAGTCAAGCCTAGAGCGAACTGAGCAGAGGATTGACAAGTTTGAAAGCCGTGGGCCACAGGGAAGGGCAGTGTCCAGCACTCCGGATTTATTGGCCTTGTCAACTTTTCCGGGACTGTACTTCGCGGGCTTTTCCCAACCAACACTTGATGCCGCGGCTTTGGAACTGCCGCCGCGGCTGGAAGTGACATTCGCAGTGGAGAAGTATCTGAAGACGATGAACTCTGTTCTTCCGATCTTCAATCCTGAGAAATTACGGCACCGTGTCCAGAATTGGTTCGAGAATCGAATAGACCATCGAGATTGCGCCACCTGGGCTGCAATTAACGTAGTATTGGCGTTAGCCCATCGCCACACATCTACCGACAAGACGAAGCCGGACAGAAACGTGACCCATTTCTTAAAGAATGCTCAGTCAGTACTTCACGAGGTCATAATGGGCAAACCAGATATTCTAAATGTTCAACTACTCGTTGGAATGGTGATGCTATTTCAAGCTACGTTGGACCTAAAGCCCGCGGCGATGCTGATTGCGCTTACCCTGCGTCTTGCGCATGAATTGGGTCTACATACACAAGGTTGCGATGGCGAGTATACTAATCCGGCTGAGAAATTGGAGCGAGATCGCGTCTTTTGGATAGCATATATCCTTGACTGTGATATCAGTATGCGCACAAAGCAACCTCCCGTTCAGCGCCATATCGACATTGACATTGATTGGCCTTTGGCCATGCCCGAGGATGAGGCTGGACTCATTACTGGAATTGATGGCAGTGCCGGATTCAACTTTTTCCTTTCTCGTGTGGAACTTGCTCGAATCCAGGCTGAGGTGTACGAGATTATGTTTTCCACGCGCGCCAAATCTCTGAATAATTACGAAAGACTAGAAAGTATGGCGCGACTGCGTTATACGCTCGACAACTGGATGTCTGGGATGCCTCCACAATTCCTTCCCAATGCTATATTGCAAATCGCAGAGCCTCATGTATGCAGAGCCTTTGCTGTACTCTATGCGAGCCATCTCGCTTGCCGGACCTGGGTCTGCAAAGCCCATATCATGGAGTCCGCGTGGCTACAACACCTACAGGTTTTTGGTCGAGTATCTACTCAAAGTGGGACTGTGGTGCCAGTACCTCCGTTACCACAAGGCTGGGATGTCCTTGTATCCGAGGCGCGCGAGTACATGAGGCTATTCATGAGCATAGAATGGAAAGACCCCGCGTTTATATGGTAAGAGAACGGAAGTTTCGATTCCGTCGGCTTTTACACGTTGTGACGAAAACTAACGATAATGAAACATACAGGATGACTGCCTGCACCTACATTTCAGGTTCAATCTGCTTGATGGCCAACACCATGTTCGACCCAAGGCATGAGAATGTAGAAGACGACAGATATTTGGCAGAATTTTGTTTCTCCTTCCTGGAAGGCATAATAGACCAAGTCCCTTTCGAACCACTTCAGCGAACAAGAAACGCGTGCGAGGAACTGTTGCGTTATACCCATGCGGCCTCCTTACAGTCTGCTGTCCAAGACGCAAGCTGCTTCCGAAGCATGTGAAGATCTCGAGAGTCAAGAGGGTTCGTAGACTGGCAGTCGGTATCATTCTCGATTTATTGGCGCAAAGGAATAAGGCTTGAATCATCTTTCAAAATATCAAATTCATTGTGGTTCATGCCATTTTCAGTCACCACAAAGTCTGGAACTGCAAATAAATTAATGGGTAGCTTGTCGCTCAAACCTTACGCTATCTCTTGTCTCATTTCCACCAGGAAAAAATACAAGGGGGTTCCGCGGAAGATTATCGCGACACTTGAGGCTCAAACAACCATGACTGCCATTCATACTCCGAGGAACGGCTTATGAATCAATTAAAACTTTCGAACAAATCATGCATATCTTGCAGCACGAATCGGCCTCAAGCTATCCCCTTCGTACTAGTATATAGAGCTCTCAACCCTCGACTTATGGCGAAACCAGAACTTGTTTCCTCTGGACTCGTCTTTCCCCTTTATTCCTTTTAGTCACCAAATTACATACCTTGACTTTCTATCGCTATGGCCTCGGTTCCTTTGCCCAAAGTAGTTTCTTTCACCAAAACCTCGCACAGCGAGCCTTACCCGTTCATTTCGCCCACGAGACCCGAGCTTTCTGCGGCTGGAAAGAATGTTGTTATCACCGGCGGGGGCACAGGCATCGGAAAGGCTATTGCCATCGCTTTCTCTGAAGCCGGTGCCCGCTCCGTGGCCGTTGTTGGCCGCAGACTAGACCGTCTCAGAGCTACGGGAGATGCAATCGGTGCTGCTGGCCATTCGACTCAGGTTCTCTTCGAAACTGGAGATGTCACAGACCGTGGGTCCATTGAGTCAGCATTGACGAATATTGTCAACAAGGTCGGCAAGATTGACATTTTCGTCTCTAACGCGGGAGTGCTTCCGGAAGAGGGTCCGGTCTCTACTTACGACCAAGGCCAGTTTCAATCAAGCCTTGCAACAAATGTTCTCGGCCCATTGAATTCCCTCCAGGCATTCCTTCCATTGGCATCCCCTGGCGCCAAAGTTTTCAATGTTGGGAGTAGTATCGGCCATTGGCAACCTCAGCCAGAGGTCCCAGGAATGGTGGCTTACGCAGCTGCAAAACTTGCAGCTGTGAAAGTCTTTGACTACTTCGCCTTTGAGAATCCAGGCATTCATGTTGCAACCATTCATCCGGGCATTATCGCCACAGAGATAAACCCAAAAATTACTGTCGCGCCTGATACAGGTATTGTCTTCGACCCTCATGCCTAGAGCCCACGAAAAGTAGAAGCTAATGATATGCAGTGGAGTTGCCTGCCCACTTTCTGGTATGGCTTACGTCGGAAGAGGCGGCTTTTCTGAAGGGTAAATTCGTCTGGGCAAACTGGGATGCACAAGAACTCTTGGCTCGAGCAGAGGAGATCCGCTCTTCGATGCTCCTAAGAATATCTTTGAACGGTTTCGACATGTAAGCCCATGTTGTCTAGCAAGCATTATAGAAACCCAGATATCTTCCTGCATCCCAGCTTGTTGAGATGAAACTCGATTGATCTGCTCAATATGTGTATGGTTCTCGAGAGAGAAAGGCGCAAGAGCTCGTTGGTCATGTGCATGAATGTGAACCTAGTAAACCACAAGACAGGATGTGCCAAGACTATCTCTCGCTGTGAGACGAAGTTGATTGAATTCACGGCTTCTTTTTTAGTCATTGCCTGCATGGGTAGTGAAACAGGGCAGCAGTGCCTACTGCTGACCA